GCAAGTTCGAATTGACACTTACTTGAATCATTTACTGGAATAATAAATTCCGAACAGTTTTTATAGATTTCACATAATATCGATAATAGTTTTCAACTTCTTTAAAAGTATAAATCAATTGATTTGATGAAATACACCCTGTTAATGGGTATCAAACTATTACAGAGTTGAATCTCAAGAGAAAAGAACTCTTGTATAATTATTAGAGAGTGTCAGTTATCTCGAAACACTGGATAAAAAGATTAACTTCCCAATAAATTTTAATTATCTATAATCGGAATTCTATTACCTTGAGTTAATTTTGTACTGAATAGATTATTTTAAATATAAAAATGCATAAATTTTTCCAAAGTTTAGATCACATACTGATCTTAGTTTAACACCTCTTCAAAGACACGAACTACTGGACAACTGTTTTGTTCCTAGGATGAGACTCCTAAGTAGTACGTCAGCATATATAGTGAATTTATCTTTAAGTTCGTGAAAGATACCAAATTTTAACTCAAATAAAGGCAGTGCTATAGCGATAAAACCTAAGGTTTTTGAGTTTCATCTCAAGGAAGGTCATAGTCGTGCACTGATGAAGAGTAACCTACTGAAATGAAGTAGCTATCTAGTTCTCCTAGTTCTTCTTCTTCAAATCAGATAAAGTCATGATTTTGACTATAACATTAAAGAATCTCCATTAACACCATACACTGTATCAAAATCTTTTCTCCTTCATCTATAGTTATAAGCTTACATATTGTAGCATAGTCCAGACTGTACAAATGTCTAAACAATAAACGATGAGTATATATGATATTTTTATCCCACATGAAATACTTGAATGAGCGTGGGAATGAATCATCTCATAGATTATTGATAACCGAAATGTATTTTAAAAGATCTATTGTTTTATGTTGTACATTGTCAGACATGTAAACTGCTAATGTTTTTTAGTGCCTTTAATGGCAAACTAGATAGATAGACATAAGTAGATAGATAGATAAATAAATAGATAGGTAGATGATGGTCAATATAAGCAGGCAGTACTGTTCATCTTAGCTTATCTTAGCCTAATATAATTTGTTGATTACAGGTTCGATTTCAGTTATGTATATTATGTGTGCGTGTGTGTGTGTGTGTGTTAGTTATTTTGTACAGTGTTACAGCAGATGTTATCAAAACATTTGTGTGCATTTAGCATGTGGTTTAATTAAAAATTAATTATTTAGATAAGATGATTATTATTCGGTTTATATATAAAGCCTATTTATAATTACAGACTAAACCAAACTAGAAATAAACTGATCAAGTTTAACCAACCGTCTATTAATTAATTTCTATCAAAACACTTGACAAAAGAAAGAAAACAATTAATCTAAACTACGATGGTCTTGGGTTCGAACAAAAGGAAGTTAGTAGGTGCCTTATCCTGAGAAATGTAATGGGAAAACATATTGGTTGTTTAACTGTATTGAGTTTCATTGATGCCCCAAATATTTGAGTGTCACAACCTATCAATGCAAATAATCTTAAGACAACATTAAAACAAACTCCAACATGGGAATAATAATGATAATGATAAGGCTGGGGACGTTAGATCATCAGAACTCGCTTGATAAATGCCTTAATTTTGGATTTCATGTTTGCGAGCATGGGTTGACCTTGAGATTTCATTTCCCATCAGGAAAATCCTTGGCTGTAATTGGTTGCCGTGTATTTCAGTGTGCTGTTTTTGTGACTGTCTCAAGGACGTTTCTATGATGTATGAATAAACGAGATTTGTGTGCTTGACTGCATTTTGCTTGCTGGGTGATTGTAGAAAAAACTATACGAAACACGCTATATCAAGACTTCACTTCAGCCGTTTCGGATCAAGGTAGCCTACCTGGATGCTGGTTCATTATCTCGCTCTAGTTTATCGATTAAGATGAACCCAAAATAGTTTCAAGCGTACCTAGTAACGAACTTACCAGATTGTAATGACAGTGATCTATAAAATGAGTATTGGTTAGCATCGAATTTGTCTAATACCATAATGGGACATTGGATGAAACTGAAGTGAAATCTGTTTAATTTCAGACTTAAAGTATAACAATCACAATTTCTGGGGTTAAGAAGATTGTTAAGGTACCACTGAGCTCAGTGGTTAGGCGTTCGCACCCTATACCAAAGGTCCTGCATTCCAATCCTGCAGTGTCCAGGAGTCGTGGATCCACACTGCTGATGAGTCCCGTACCAGAACGAAACGCCGTCCAGTGCTTCCAGGTTTTCAAAGGTGGTCTAACATTGATCGATTCATGATTTTAAATCACGATTTCATGTTTCACAGCTAACACAACACATGGAGACAATTTGATTTGGAGTTCAGTGCTGTGATTAGTAAAATTTAGCCAGTTTATAGTATGATGTTGTTTGTGACAGCATTTTATAAGGCACATCCAATTAAATCCCACTTATCAGTGGCTTATGTTATATCTTCAAAATACACACTCAGTAGTGAGGATGAGCCAATTTATTGATAAATTTTCATTTACACAAAATCACACGATATCTAATAACATGAAACATGTGATGAATATTCATTTAAACAGAATTAAAAAGAAAAATTGAACATGAATTTAGTCATTGAATAAAAACTATGTCTTTGAAATGTTTATTCTGTATTATGCTTTGACAAAAAATAAAATAAAATAGTTCAGTTAAAACTGGACATCCAAAAGAAGTTGTCACGTAAATTCAAATCCTCTAAATAAACACAAAGTAAAAATTCCAATGATGCGTTCTATTAAATCTAAATTCACTAAACCATAATTTAATTATTACTTAACATACATGTAAATTAAATTTACTGAAAATTGCATTGATCAGTCAAAAGAATTTGAACAAATAACTTGTGTAACTGATTATTTTTTCCATCAGAATAGAAAACTTTTAACAAGAATACACCCTAGGCATGATATAATTACAGTGTAATTAATCAAATTATAATTCTATTCACATGATTTTTTTTCTAATAAAAAAACATTTTGTTTTTAAATCTCTTTAAGATAAATTGAACTGAATTTAGACAAACTCATTTATTACATGCGTAAAAGGGCATTTTCATTACACAGGAATAAACTTTTAGTATTTTGTTTAAGTAATTGTTACCTTAAGAGGAGTAGAACAAAATAAAATAATTAGTAGAAAGTTTTTTGCATTAAATGATCATCAAGTCAGTAGTCTTGAATATTAACTGACTACTTGTAAAGCGACTGAAAAAATCTAGAATTATTGTAAGTTAGACAACGATTGAATACCCAGTAACCATTGAGAGGTTGTTTCATTCTAGTGTAAACTTCTTCAAGAGTGCGAATACAAAACTTTGACAAGGATCGAACCACAACTTCAAAATAAAATATATCAAGATTTTATACTGTTTTTATTATCGCGACTGCATGACAATAATACAACTTTGGTGCGAGATACTTCATTTGTTGATAGTCTTTCTAGGCAAACATACGTTGACAAACATTTCAATAAGTAAGCTGGTGAGATAACTCTTCAAGTGGATAAGAACTTATCCTGTAGACAAGTAATGTGACTGAATGTTGCCAATCAACAACATTAGACTGAACTCCTGAATCACTCAAAATTAGACCACTGATATACCTAGGAGCGCTAGATGGCCGCGTCTTAGTAACAGAAAGAGGTAGTCGCGCTATTTCTTGGACTGGTTGACGTTATAAATTATCATCATAGGATGTCAGCTCATTGATTGAAAGATTAAGCTTTGGCTGGTGATACCATAGGTTTTGGCTTTGATTCTTGCATGCACGATGGTGCGTGTATGCTTATGAGAACTCTCATAGTAGAACGAAACGGCCGTCCAGTACTTTCAAGTTTTCAATGGTTATGAAATCTAGATCGGTTCATGATGATATCAATAAAATTCGTTAATCTCTGTAACCCTATACTTAAAAATATTACACTGTTTTTGCATGTCACATATATCCTGAATGCATTGTTTCTAAACTAATTAATTTAAGAAAAAAAACGAAACGTCAATCCATTAACTTAGTCTGATACCCGATCATTTAACTAGAAATAATAATATATTTCTTCGAATGTTGTAGCATGTGAAAATTCCTTGTGAAAATATTTTCGCAATGAACGGATGTTGATTTTTTTTTGAACATGTGATTGAATACTAAATCATTTTATTTATTTTTTACTAAAAAGCAGAAATCAATTAAGAAACCGATTGAAAATGAGGAGAAATTGAAGTGTTGTAGCAAATGAACAACCTTACATGTATTGATTACAGTTTTGTTTTCGGAAAGTAATTGAAGCTAGAAGTCGCTGTCAATCAGTGAATTCTGTCTTTAAGATGATTAGATTTCCATTATAAAATTGGACGTTCTTGTGTTTTATTGTATATGATGAAATAATCTACTGTCATCTATGCAGCGTGAATTTCATTAGTTTTAACGAAAACGTTTGTCATTACTAGTTAATGCCAAATGATAAGTACAGTCAGTCTGATGAGGAAGGAAATAAGGTCTTCAAAATCACACTAATGAAAAATCATGATTTTGTCATTTTCATGGGTACACTACAATAAAGGAGCTGAAGTTGCTGATCAAACATTTACTTCTTCTACAAACAAGCCAACCAACCTCACTCATTATCTTCAGTAGTTATTGCGTGAAACCTTACCCTGATCACAGTTAGAAACGAACACCGCTAATGATGACCCAGTGGTCTAGAGGCTAAGCGTCCGCACTCAAGGCCGAAGTTACCGGCTTTGATTCCTGTGTGTGGACGTCGTGGACACACACTACTGATGAGTCCCATACTAGGACAAAACGGTAATACAGGCCTTCCAGGTTTCTAATGATGGTAAAACAATGATTGATTGATGACTTCAATATATAACAACTATCTTCATAACTCTATAATGAACATCAATCTTAATAATGTCATTAACTTTAGCTAAATCAACACTGATAATAAATCTTTCATTTACTTACCTCACGATTAGCTTGAACTGCTATAAATTCTGTAAATATTTGATTTGCTTTAATAGCCAATTTTTTCGGATTAGTAGTATGTTTGTAATCTTGACATGCTATCCAAAATTCAATATTTTCATCACTGAATTCAGTACTGAGAAAATCTTTAAATAAAGCTAATCCATCTAAAATAATTTCGTTTTGGAAGGAAATATCAAATAATCAAAAAACAAAAACATTAAAACATTAATTATTACAGAAATTTATGGATCATATAATTGAAAGGACTCTTTTACTGTAGATTCTGATTTCGACTGAATTACTATGAAAATATTAGGGAACATTGAATGGAATTCTTGTCAGATTTTGAGATTTTTCAGCAATAATCAAATACTATCGTATTTAAAATACAACTCAGGGATTTAAGCTTTTGAAACAGGAATTCACTGAACAACATGCGAGGTTTTGAGCGATGTCCAGTGTTCAAGATATGCTATCAATATGTCAATCATTTACTCAATACATGATTGACTTTACAGATCGGAAAATCTCAGTAAAACATGAGAAAATAACCCGTTTTATCATTCCTTATTAGTGATCGTAAGAGTAACGATAGTTTGTAAAGATGCCGTCTTACATATGGAGATCTATTTTGTCAATAAGCTCATCCAAACTGCCTTGATTCAATGTTAATTGAGTCCCAATATGTGTACTGCTAACAGCAATCCTAAAAAGAAACGACGAATCACAGTTTTAGTTCATTTTTATTTAGTCAGCACTTTGACAATCAATGATACTTTTTTCTTGACTCACAATTCCTACTATCGATATACATTTTCTATTAAAAATTAGTTACAATTAAAATTCACTTAGTGCATTATGTAAATTAAATATGAATTATTATTACTGAATGATAATAGCATGTATGATAAAAAGTAATCGGCATCTGATAATGGCAATTCTTCTTTGATAAATAATATTCAAACATTATTTAGTTAACAATCAATTATTGTTCTATGGAATTACAAAAATAAAAAATTTATTACAAATATTAATCCATTTTTTAAGTTAAGTGAAGAAATTATTTCGCCAATTGATTTTTCTTTTTTTTTTTTAAACGAAATAAATAAATGGATTTGTTTATTTTTCTATGAATTACTCTGATAATTTAATCTATAATTCGTAACCAGTTAAATAAAAAAAACTAATTACTTAAATCTCATTAATTAATAAAATAATCCCTAGGTTTGAATAGAAAATTTGTGAATAACAAGAAAAAACAACTTAGTGAATTAGTAGAGTCAATTTAATTGTTTGTAAACATTACAAAGTGTAATCACTACTCTCTCTTCTCTTGAATTTATATCTTATACTTCAGCTCGTTTGTATTGGTAGTTGGAAGCTTCATTTTGATAGTTAGGAGGGCTACAATTGATCAGTAGCATTTGAAATATATGCATCCTGTGTGCATTGCCTCAATATATCCATTAGGTCACATGAATTAAAAGCAGCGATTGATAACGGTTAGCTATGGAATCCAACTAGCGTGTTTCGTCCTGTTTCGTAGTCATCAGATTGTCATTCCTGCATCATTGAGTTATCGTTTTGTTCCACTACTAGCCACTATAACATGTGATACGTAATGGCCACATTGACGTAATGTACACAGGATACTTATATTCCACATGAAACTGATCAATCGCAATTCTAACTATCAATGGAAAGATTCAAACTGCCGATATAAATAAATTAAACTTCGCCCCATTACACAAGCCAGTGAATTTCTCGACTCAGTATCTAGATGATTAACGCGATGGTGTTTAAAGTAAACGGTATTGGGTCCGTGTCTTGCAGTGAACATCAACTCGGAGATGCAGGTATATCAATCTGACGAGACTCATGTAGGATGAAATGTGCGTCCTGGATTCCACTGTTAGGGACAATCCATCTCTGTTTATGTAGTGAAATATTCTTTAAAATTCTATCAACATATTATAACCAGTCACTTAGATGAAATCATCGAAAAATGTTGCTAGTGAAAACAAACAATCAGAAGTTCTATAATAATGTTTAGGGAACTTTTATTCCAACCTCACAATTCTAAGTCATAATATTTACTTATACTATTTAACTACTCATTCTTGCTTCAACATAATTAATATTAAATTTTTTTTGTTATATCGCACTGATGTACAGGTTATGTGGAGATTTTCGGATTTACATAGTTTATATCAATGACTGATTGAAAGCTGTCCTATAATAACTCTATCTGATAGGTATTAGACATATACATCACTGTACTCAGGTTAACCTTCTAGGGGAGAAGTGTTCACCCCGATGCTTGGGAGTTGCAGGTTCAATCCCCACGAAGTTGTGGCTACCTAATGCTGGCTATTTAACTCAGATCTATCCGTGATATAAAACATTTTGTAATTTTAATTCTATTAAAATTATTTTCAATCAGATAAAATCAATAATCTAAAGGTTACCGGTTGGCATTGACTTAGCTTGTTTAGCAATTACAAAATCCTCAACATCAGTATCGTCATTGTTGCCTATAAACTTCCGACAGTTCAGCTGTCAAAAAGTCATAGGCTGATCCTTTTATTTACTTACATATACGGTGCTTGCAATTATCTCATGATTGAGAATTATCACATCCGTCAGTCAGTTTACACAGTTAAAAGTGATGTTTTTCGCAAATAATGATGAACTATTCTACATTCAGTCCCTTAACTGGATATTTTTATTATAATTGTTCAAATCAATAGTGAAATGGGATTCGATAATCACTGATATCCTTCAACAGTTCAGTTCATTTACCTTTTTTTTAGGAAAAACAAATATTTCTCTCAAAAACAAATTATTTTGGAATTTTTAAATAACAATTTTTCAGCATGACTTCGTAAAGTATAAAAAGTAACATTTTTTTTCATTACGATTATTATTACTCGTACTAGTAGTGGTAGTAGTAGTAACAGTAGTAGAACTGAATGTAGTCACATGATTTATTTTGACCAGTTTAAAAATACAGTCAGTTTGTTCAAATATACAGATGACCTGAATATAGCAAACAGTGAAGTTAACTGAAACTAAGCCTATGAAATGGATTCTAAAGCGATCAGGCTGTCAATATATTTCTCGTGTTATTTAGAGTTTTCAAGATTAGAATTAATGTCAGAAATTACTCTGGTGTAAAATAATTTAATATCGAAGATAAATCATGTCTGAACATTTTGAAAATCGTTATTAGAATTGTCTTTACAGTTATGTGGTAAGGTTCACATTATTTCTAATCAATAATTCCTGATGTACTTGGAGTTATCTTTACGTAAAACAATTTGGCTGAAATGTTACTGTATTGAATTAAATAAATGGATGATAAGACAGACTTGTCAGATAATTAAATCGTTAGAGTTGATTGGTTAATGTTATCTGAGAAAACGAAAAGATTGGTATTCATCAATAAACGATGTTTGTAACAATCAAAATCAAAGGAAGCTAGGAATATGAATCACTGAATCTCGACTCATTGAACTGAATTCAACCATTTCACAATGAAGATTTACATTGCTTGTCACCAAACATGATAAAGACGCGAGTATACTCTGCTTGTTAGTCTTATGCAATGACAAAACAAAAAGTTAAGTAAACATTGTTTGACTAACAAACAAAAATGGAATATCCTACGGTTCAGAAGAGGCCTGCCTTCTTAAAATGTGGTTTCAAGGGTTATGAAATAACCTGAAAGATTGATTTTAGACTAAAGACAATGGTGAAAAGAATATATTCAGTGGCCAAACTTATGTCTTTGTACCAAACTAAATGCTAATTGAGACAGTCAAACGTGGAAAAAGATCTATTTATCTTGCCTTCGATTGTGTTTACCAGTTTATACACAAATGACAAAGCATAAATAATGGAAGAACAGAAAGGAAATTTTCTGTCCGTATTTCTGAAACCATTTCAGAAACGTTGAGACAAGACGGACAAAAGGTGTTCAACAGCGCATTTGCTCATCACCGGCTCAGCAATGTTCATGATGTTGAGGTTTCAACCTGTCACAAGTTTTTGAAGCTGCTGCGATAGAAAGATTTAAACTGAGTTTATATAACCAAAAAGAAACTGTTATCAATCTTGATTTACCCTGATGACCTTGTTTTTTGTCATTTTATTTTGTAAGACTGCTTTTTGTTCCAAATATCTGAATTCTTACTTCTGCACTTGGTTCAACTATTCCAAATTACGTAATCTATAGAAAAATTATGATCCAACGTTCTTCTTGAATATTCATATATTTAGTTTATAAATGAGCGAATTCTAACTCTTCCGTAACATGATCTCTTGGTATTAGTCTGTCTACACATTCTAACTCAGGTTTTTCTTAATAATTCCTAAGTACGTATACTTGTTTCATTTTGATGATGAATAGTATGAACCATCACTTATACACCTAAAATATAAAAAATGAAATTCGTTTATCGATCAGTATAGAATAAATGAAATGTGGCTAGCAAAGTAATCCAGCAGGCATGTTTCGTTTTATATGAGACTCATCAGCTGAGTATGCTTGCATTCCAGAGTTGATGTTCACTCCAGACGAAATAGTCTTCCTTGATTCTACTGCTAGTCACATTTCATTCATTTTTAAATCAACTTGTGTTGTAATTACCATCATGAGGCAATCAGTACAAGATGCTCCCATACCAACTAGGACTGATCAAATTTCGGACAAAATATCAATAGTGGGATAATTAATGCTAACTATTTCACATTGAATGTATGTTTTTGGAATAGTTCAGTTGTGAAATAATTTCATGACAGTGTTGATAATAATTGTAATTATATCTCGAATATAATTGTATACTTTATTCGGTCTACTGAAATGGTTATTGAGAAAGCCTGAATATATGTACAGATTTACCTATTAAGATTAAATAACTCGACTGAATAATTTTACGGTCTGTAAACAACTGAAGAATTTTAGCCAAATGATTAAACTTGATATCGTCAATACATACTTCCAGGGTAATATCCCATGAAAAAATAAGTTTAGTTTTAGGAAATTACTATTGCGATTTACATACTTATTTTTTTATGGAGATTATTATGTTTTAGGATTTGAGAAAGATAATTTCATGTTATTTTCAATTGTTCATGCTAGAAATGCATTGATAAAAAGTAAATATATTTATTTGGATTAATTCTAGTATAACAGTTTATCAAAACACTCTAGAATTAATCAGCGATATAAGTGAGAGCTAAATAAATCACACATGCAGGTCATTTCAAACACTGTAAATGATGTACACTGAATAGTAGTGTACTAGTGATTGAAGCATCTGTGGCTGCATTTGAGTTTTAAGAATTACCCCAACAATCCCTAGAGTTCGTCAAGCTGACGGGTACGAAATGAAGCTAAACATAAGGCTATGATTTGAAGATAAATTGCCTCAAAATACACATTTACACATCAAAATACACAATACTAGTATACTTTGTATTGAATATTTTCATAACTTACATTTATCATTTAATAAAGCTTCAAACGAATGTCCCCAATTATGTATTTGTTCATAGCTTGGTTTACCGGCACGAATCATACGTTTAAGTTCTTTCACTTGTACTAGTTTTGTACCAGGTTGTACAGAAGATTTAGGTCGGAAGAATTGAAACCCTCTAGAAAACAAAATTTAGTAAAACATGAATTGTAAAAAGCGAGTAGAATATAGTATCAGAAACACTATTATTTATCAAATACAAAGTTATATATATCTATATATCGATGGTGTACAAAACCAGTCAAAACACTTATTGAGATATTTAAAAACCTTGGTTTGTATTCTGAAGGGTTAATCGTAGACGTTTACAAATTTGTTTCCAAAGCTGAACATCAAAAGTCTAGTAATTTCCAGCTTTAGTGAAATTTCTACAATTCAAACGAAGCCTTGACAATAATGTATTTCAAATCAGTGACTTCTAGGTCAGTAGATTGACCGCTGTTCAATACATTTAATAGAAGCTAGTCAATAAGCAGAGTGAATCTGCCAATGTACAAAGTGCTTTGTTTTTTGTTTACTGGCACTCATTTGCTAGGTTAGACTATTCTAGAGAGATAAAATGTAGTGACAAATTAAAAGTATAGGCTAGATATTGTGAGTAAGCGAAACAGTTACCAAACCAAGGTCAACCTCCTACATTTCCTTACCTCAGTCATTCCTATTTCCACAAAGTTAATTGGATCAGATTACTTAAATAAACCATCTTTTACATATGTTGAAGTAACTCTATATGCAGAAACTCCCAGTTATAGCTTTCGTAAATCTTTTTCATTATTGAAACAATTTCGTTCCAAATCTTCTCTCTATATGAACTACTTTATCAGTAAATTTTCAAGACTGTAGATGTCTTAAATATGCTTACACCTGTAAATGTATTCCATTTCACAAGTGAAATGATAGGAATTCTAAATGTTGAATCGTTTTTGTTACTGGGTCTACTAAATAAATCATCTTACTTGCAGATACTTTAAATCTCAACACTGATGCGGATATTAAATCATAAAATAATCTGACACTTGTAACATGGTACATCTGCAATTACCTATGCAAACTAGTGACTAGCTCCCTGAGGAATCTTCTCCGAGTTCTAGTGGGAAGAAGTCGTGACCAGTGAAGTTCAACCTGTTCGGGTGTAGACTGTAACTACCGGAGACTGTGTATTAGGTTGCGCAACTTCGTGAATTGATCGAAGTTAGACATTAACACCGTTAGATACCGGCTCAGTGGTCCAGAGGTTAGGCGTTAGCGCGCAAGACCGAAGGTCCCGGATTCGAATCCTGCGAAGTGACGGAGTTGTGGATGCACACTGCTTATGACTCCCATACCAGGACCAAACGGCCGTCCAGTGTTTCTAGGTTTCTAATGGTGGTCTAATATTGATCGATTCATAGTTTCAAAATGTGTAACTTTACAATTTTCACAACACTGTAGTGCAATTACAAATATTGCCATCTTTAATGCCCATGACTACAAAGTGGCATGAATTCAGTATTTTTTTACATTTAAAATATATTTTTTTATCATCATGATTATGACTGAAAAATTGTGTATTTAATCTAAACAAGACTATGAGATCATTTAAAAGACCGAAATCCACATTCAAATGCGCCAGCCATTTATCAGAAATCAAAGTAACCAATATTATTAGTTACTGTACACTGACAAGTGGACTGAGTCATGTTGGTAGATCTAGGCTACCTGGTTGGGGTCGGCAAGACGAAGGTCACCGATGGTTAGAGAGCTTGAATGACATGGCTCAAAATCGTTCGCAATGGCGAAAGTGTATCCACTCTTTGTTTTCTCTCAAATTGTAACCTTCTCAATTCCTCATCATCTCTATTTTTCTCTTTCTAAAGTTATCTCAGTGAATTATGCTTCCGGAATCATATCTTCGAACCCTAATTTTCTCCATTACTGGTAATACTTCTATTATCGCTACCACTATGTGCTTTGAACTGACAGTTTCGTCTGTGTGCTTATGCGGTATGGCAACCTGAATGATCTACTTATATACGAAATTCTGCGTTGTATCTGTCTGTCTTCTTATTACTGTGAATGTAATCTCGTAAACTCCAATGCTTAAAAATAAGATTGGTAGGTGAACAGATGCGTATTGAAAATACTCTACAATTTCCATACTAAACATTTGACAACAACAACAATTAGTTGTTTCAAAGCCGAAAGTTTATCAGAATTAGAATCATTTAAACAAGAAAAAAAACATACATACATTTTATTCTTTTTTCCACCAATACTACCCATTGCAGTACTGTGTCTTGGTGAAGTTGACATGAAATCAGCTGGCGACACTGAATTTCTCGATAATTCATCCATTTTTTCATGACGATATTGTTGAGAAGATGTGGATTTTTTCGATTCATTCTCAAAGATCGGTAATCGTTCTAAGGATTCATGTATAGATTCTCTCGGTGCACCATCATTTTTATTAGCACGTTGTAATTGACCAATAAATTCCTTTGCAGAAAAAAAATTAACCAAACAAGAGTAAGTTACAATAAGCTTGGATTGAATTACTTTTATTTTCAAAGGTTATGAAAACTCTACGGACTCAATACATGAAGATGAGATATAGAAAGTATTTCATCAGAATACATCTCTGAATACGACCTAACATGAGTTTTTAAAGTTGTGCATAAAACAACTGATATATCTATTCATGGACATTTTTCCATATTTTGGTCACTTCAATCAATCGGAAATCTCCAGGAAATTTACTAACAAGCTTAGAATAACTCATTAACTGGATTAGTAGTGTTATGCTCGTCACCTGATATGCTTGAAACTATTACGAGTTCACCTTAGTCGATAAACGCGAACGAGACAATGAACCGGTGTCCGGGTAGGCTACTCTGATCTGAAACGGCTGAAGAGAAGTCTTGATAAGCGTAGAAAGTATATCCTACAAACACCCAGTAATCAGAATAAATTCAAGCACAAAATTCGCGTTTATTTATACACCATAGAAACGTCCTTGGAAGAGTCACAAAATAGCAGATTAAAATAACACAGTAACCAATCATAGCCAGGGATTTTCCTAGTGGGAAATGTGATCTCAAGGTCGACTGACCAGTCCATGAATACAATCCGAAATTAATACATTTATGAAGCAAGTTCTGGGGATCTAACGTCCCCAACAAATAGGCTGTTCTTCTACATCGACAAACAACTGGACTTAAACACGTAAACCATCTGCATACTGACTCAATGGTCTGGAGTTTAAGAGGTCATCACAATACATGAAGGTACTGAATGAGAACTTTAGTGGTATAGTGAGTTCAACTATTCTTGTTTTATGCTAGTTTTTGAAGTAAGATCAGACACTGATGTTTTTTATAAAAATTTAGGAAACCACCTTGATTGAAATAACCAGTTGTTTTTAAATACAACTCTACAAACGTCCTTAACACGATGTTTTACATTCACTGAAAATTTCATTTTTGATCGAATCATTTTTTTAAAAAATATTTCAATGTTCATATGTTAACAAAAACTATTGCAGATTAATATAATATGCAAGTGAAAAATGCATAGAAAATGCATATTTGAGAAAAGATTCCAAATTTTCATAATCCACTGATTCGAAAATGAAGTGATCATTTATTTATGCAAATAACATCAGCGATACTATTCGTTAAATAAAAATAAATTAGTTAGGCATTAATTTTAAAAATTATGACATTCCTATTACTATTGTCTTATGTGGAAAAGTACTATCAGTAAGCGAAAATGATAATTATTATTATGAATGATAGAAATTTCTATTAGCGTTGATAGTAACTGGTTAACATTTTAAGAAAAAGAAATAGAAGAAAGGTGAAGAACAAAAGGTGTAATAAGTTGTTCAAGTTAAAACTCAACTATGAATCAACTCACAGATTGTCTTGTTATTAAATTTTGTATTTTGCCATACCAACTTATATATTCAAAACAACAAACTTAAGATGCTTATTGTACAATAGTAGAGTACAGTAGAGTCACTGTTCCCTTAGTATTGAATCGATCGGTTATGCAATAATCTTGAAACTCTACATGAAGACCTTCTAAGGGTTACTAATGGTCCTAAGCCGGGATAAACGAGGAGGGTTAAGCATGCAGTGAGCAATCCCATCACGTAGAAATCCAATACTCACTGGGTCAAAACGCTAACCAGAAAAATAAGGAGCTGGTTGGTGGCCTATGCTCCTTCAGGGGTAATAGGCGTAAGTGAGTAAGTAGTACTCTTGGAGGTAATTAAGAAAATAATTAACAGATCAATCAATGATAATCACAGCCTGTAAAATTAGGAAAGATGCTAAGGTTATAGTATAAAAAAGACTGAAAATGTTTATTTTTAACTCAGAGATTAGGTGTGAATTGAATGAATGTGAAATTGTAAGTGACATACACATTTTGTCCGTTTCGAGCTGACCTTCTTTGCACCTATCTATTTAAAGAGCCCACTATTCCTTAGTTTATTAAAACGAGTTCAACTCGTATTCTACTATGAATACAGTCGGTGGGCCGCAATTATGAATTCGATTAAGGATTCTATTTTTATCACAGATCATTTAGATATCGTTTGCATATCTCTTCAATATTTGAAGTCGTTTTAATGTCTCTCAATGCATGGAATTGCTTTCTCCACACATGTCATGAAACAGTTCACTAAAGAAGGAGTAAGTACTAATCTCAATTGCAACGTCATCAGCTTTCCCATAGAAATCAACATTAATTAAAATAATGAACGTTAGATTTACATGCACGTCTAAAGAAAAATGTAGGTTTGAAGAATTCTCTACTAAATTTAACAAAAATTATCATTAATGAACGTTTTATTTGTAAATATTTGTCTTCCAACAACAAATGTTGTTAGAAATTAAAATCGATCTCGTAAAATGTGAAATGGAAAGTTAATGATGAAAGCTAAAGAATGATGCGCTGAAACGATAGTAATAAGACTGGAGGAGTTTATTTTAAAATAATTCTTTTATCTTTGGTAATAAAACATTCGAGAGAAGCTAAATTTGTACGAGAAACATCAACAGTTTTATCGCTCATTATTTTATTCTTCAAACGTAAGAATATTTACTTTTTAGTCACATATTTTTTCATTATTTCAGTCATCATCTTCTCTTAGTTGTATGAAGAGGAATCAAAAAAATACAAAATGATTCTTGCTACAGGTTGCGGTGGAACTAGTTTACTAGACAACCATCTAAACCCATAGAGCACTGGACGGAAGTGCTGTTGATTTGATTTGAGTGGTAACATCTGGTTAGATAATGATTCATATTTATATTTATGATGAATATTAGAACCGTTATTTAGTTTTGGATTTAAACTGGGCAAGACGTGTATCTAAACTACCACAGTTTGTACCCTACTGAGCCTCGCTGCAAACGCACAACTCTAAGGCCACTGAGTTGTCACTCAACATTTTACATGTTTAACTTTGTCGACTTGACGATTCTGTAACCTCTTGTGCGGTTTCGGCTGCGCATGGATGAAATCGCTATCCAGTGCTTCCTATCTTTCACCGTTTGTCTAACTAAGGTCTCTCTTTTAGTGATGTTAATGAAAACGAAATGAAAATATGAACAAGGCGAACATTTAAATCAGGAAGAATAAAAAGCGAAGTTAGAGAAAGAAAAAGATCAAAAAACTTAAGGTAATTATGCTAGAATATTAACCAAATTAATAGACCAAAGAAAAAAAAAAACTGAATATCTATTCTAGATAATATACACAATTTTTGTTATAAAATTGGAACACCTTAATCACTTTATACTTTATGCTTGATATGAATTTTACCATCTATTTTTAGATACGTTAATTAAATTCATTTTTAATTGAAATCAATCAATCACTTGTGTATACACAACAAAGTAATAAACTTAGGCATCAATTGCATATTCATTTTCAACAGTCAATATTCTTTCTCATTGGATTACGGATGCAGTCCGATGGTTTTAATGAAAAAAGTCGTGATCAATAAAATGGTATATAAATTGGGCGTAGAAAAGATTTCATAGAAATATTATTAGTAGCTATAACAAGGGCCCAGGTCTTGAATTTGTTTGTTTTGGTATAGATGTTACATAACATTAAAATTACCAGGCAACATGAAAGATTTTCAGTTTGTTGATTACTTAAAAGCACTTAAATACATATTTCAATTTTTTTGTAAATAAACACTTTAAAATAAATAAGCCTTATTGATTATTCTTCTCTAAAGTGATCATTGAACAAGGTTTAACTCGTTAACAAACAAACTAACACATGTATATAATATCAGTTTTTATTCCAATTTATTTTTTTCATTTCATGCCAAATTCTCAGTAGAACAGAACTAATTGAACATTGATCAAGTGATCATTGATCACCTGCATCATCTCAATTGTGATTGATGAATAACGTCAAATGAGTATATTATGAACATTAATGATTGCGAATTTCACTTTTATTCAAATATTCAATGGAAACATTTCAATTTCGCCAGAAAAAAGTAAACAACATTTAAATCAACAGCTTTTTTTTCCCTCCATTCCATAGTAGATAAAAATTTCTTTACCCTAACGTTGAATGATTTATGTCTTTTCACTATACAACGCCTAATGACAAAAATATGTCAAAAAAAACAAAGAAATTAAAAGGTGAAAAAGTTTATTTTGTTTGCTCTTGTCTTAAAAGGTTATTCGAATGCTCCCATGACGTACAAGGCATGTTTCATGTGTAGATGTGTGTTAATGCATATATATATATATATATATATATATATCTTCTGTCATTCAGGCATGCATTATTTCCTCAACTTAATGACATGTATACTCTAATCTTTTAAAACGATATCAACATGTAACATGGAAATATGAATAAAAAAAGAAAGGCAGTCAAGTAAAAATCAAATATCTCTCACTTTATTGTTTGTAAAATAAGTAAAGAACAAAACAGGAAGACAAAAGATAATGAATGCATTTGATGAATTCGACATTTTTTTAACAAAATTTCCTCTCAGTAAATTTTATTTTCCTGGAAAAAGAATAGAAAATTTCTCATGGATGAGATTCAATGTTCAATTATTCAACATTTTTATGAGATTGTCATTTTTTAAAAATATAATCAATAACATGCTAGCCTACAAAGACAAGAAGTAAGTAATTTTATCGATATGGAAGAGTAGAATCAATCGTGAGACCATTAATCGAAATAACCTTGTTATTGTTAGAGTGTTGTTTCGTAGCCGACAACAACAGCTTTATTTTTTACACAAATGAATTAGAAAAATTTGGTTTTTTTTCAGTTAGAGATATGGAGATTAGTGTTTATGGCACATTGAAATCATCAGCCAATCATTGTTAGATAACTATTAGACACCTGGAAGCACATGGGCGGCCGTTTCGTCCTGGTATGAGACTCATCAGGTAGTGCACATCCACGACTCCTGCACCTTGCAGGATTCACATTGTTTTATAGAA